GTATGTGTGGGCATGTGGGCATGTGTGTGTATGTATGTGTGGGCGTGTGTGTGTATGTGTGGGCAACATGTGTGTATGTGTGCATAGGTGTGTATCTGCACCTGCTTGACTTGACCCTGGGTATGCTTAGTATGTTTCTGGGGTCCAGGACCCAACTTTGTCCTGCTGATTTCTGCAGAGGATGACAGTTAAGGCCTAAGAATGCCAAACCCAGCTCTTCATGACAGTGCTGAGTGAGGGCTAGTTAGGGTATCATCAAAACCCGCTCTGCTCTCTTGGAGGTAAAAGGGTAAACTGTCTGAAAGACATCAAGAAATTTAAAGAAACCTTCTCTGGACGGGGAAAATATCTCTCAAATCACAAACAAAGCTCCTGGAGATGGCTCCTTGCAGGTATATTTGCAGATGAGCAGCTTCTCGGGCCGGCGCCTGCTCCGAAGATTAGCCGGGTGGTAATGTGTGGTGTAATTGCACCGTGTTGCTGTCCCCGAAGTGAAAACCTAATTGCCTGACAGGACGATAACTTTGTGGCACCCTCACCTTGTTAGGCCCTTTCTGATGCAGTTCAAATGCAGTGTGGCCGCAGGTGCGCCTAATTTACCTCGCTGCAGAACGTGTGGAGTTTAATTGCACAGTGGTTGTTAGGAAAAATTGGTGGGTGGAATATCAAGTGACTTACTGTAAGCTGATGGCAGATGGTGTGAAGAGGCATTGTGAGCTAAGTGTATAGGTGAGGTGAGTTAATAAAAGATGTAAATTCTGGCCTAAAATGATGAGGCCTCATGGTATGCAAGAAAAGTTAAGTGGCCGCCATTCTTTCCCCCATCAATTGGATTTTCTTCTGCCACAGTAAGAAGTCATCCAGGATATGCTGGGAGTGCACTTAGAGAGATGAGTCTTGGTCAGTCGAGTCTTTTCATTTTCTGATATTCTAATTGCCAGCAAGGAACCTTGAAAATTGTGTGAAACTTCATCAAAAATTAATAATCACCAAGTAGGACAGACGATAGTTTGGGAGAAAATAGAGAAAGGTTTGTGTTGATGACCTTGCTGGACAGGATGCTTGGCCGCTTGCAGAGAGTGGGTATGTCGGCACAGACCCAAGCTCTGGGACCTCTTGGTTGTGGCCTTTTCAAGTTGAGGCGGAGGGTGCGCAGGAAGAGACCCCCCAACCCTCTTTTCCCGTGGGTGGTGTTAGAGCCCGGTTTCCCAGGCTCTTTGAGTTCAGACTGGAAGCCAGCTCTCCTGCAGTGTCACTGAGCATGCAGGAATGGGGAGGGCAACATGATGACGTTTTAGTCACAGCATCTCAACACACTGTCAGGACCCCTGAATCTTCATGCCATGAAACGTCAGGGCAAGGCATGGCAGGAAATGGAAATACGCTCGCTTCAGCCTCACCTCTCCAGCCCTGCAGACTGCTGCTCCTTGCTTTCTGCCTCAGCAATAGTTTCATTACCGCGTCAAGAATTCTTGGTTAAAACAATACGCCTCCCAATCAGTTCTTAGATTTTTTTTTTTTTTTTTTGGAGACAGAGTCTCGCTGTGTTGCCCAGGCTAGAGTGCAGTGGCGCGATCTCTGCTCACTGCAACCTCTGCCTCCTGGGTTCAAGTGATTCTCCTGCCCCAGCCCCCCAATTGCTTCTTAAGAGCTGTACCTACTGTAACTCTTTTTTTTTTTTCTTTTTTTTTTTCTTTTTTTGAGACAGAGCCTTGGCTGTTGCCCAGGCTGGAGTGCAGTGGTGCGATCTCCGCTCACTGAACCTCCTGGGTTCAAGTGATTCTCCTGCTTCAGCCTCCCAAGTAGCTGGGATTATGGGTGTGTGCCACCACACCTGGCTAGTTTTTGTATTTTTAGTAGAGATGGGGTTTCACTATGTTGGCCAGGCTGGTCTCAAACTCCTGACCTCAAGTCAGCCACCCACCTCAGCCTCCCAAAGTGCTGGGATTACAGGCGCTACTGTAACTCTTAAAACCCGTATTTAGAAGTATGTTTGCTTAGGCAGTGGTAGCCTCTGGAATTAGGGTTGCCCAGATAAGATATAGCACATCCAGTGAAATTTCCATTTCAGGTGAACAGCAATTTTTTATTGAGGCGTATGCTCTGGGACATTATTTTTTGCTTATCCAAAATTCAAATTTAACCAGGCATCCTTCATTTTTTAGTGGTTGGAGACGGTAGGCCTGTCTGGGGTGGATGTTTCCCCCATGGTTAATGGGCAGTTGTGCAAAGATTGAGCCAAGAAATGCCAATGCGAAAGTCACAGCTATCATCATAAAGCTTGGACATCCTTAGCCTCAAGGCAAATGCAACTTGCTGCTCTCCTGTGCGGCTATTTCTGGGTGCCTCCTCCCCGCCTCTTTCAGAGCCTCTTCTCAATGTCGCCCCCTAGAGGGAGGTGAGGTTGAGTCTCCACTCCTCCCCGCCAAGAGTGTCTTAAAAAGTTTGAGTCTTCTGTCTGATAACCCTAATAAATATCATCTTTTTGTATTTTTTATAGATTCTTTCTAAAGTTTTTCCTCAAGTGCAATCAGAACTGTTTGAAGAATGCAGGCAACCCTCGAGATATGCGGAGATTCCAGGTATACATTTCTCAAAGACACGTGGACCGTGGTCCTGACTTTTTATATGAAATTTGAATTCTCTGATTTTGCAACTGTTCAGGAAGTACTCTTGAGTTCTTTAAGGGCTTGGAAGCAAACTAGAATTGGTGCATTTGATAAAAATATGCAAATAAAATGCTTTAAGAATGATCTGGTATATTCAGTATGCCAGATTCATCAAGTCCGATGTGGGCACAACAGAGTGAAATCAGCTTTGAAAACATGGCCATGTGGAAGGTTTTTTTTTTTTTTGAGACAGAGTCTTGCTCTGTAGCCCAGGCTGGAGTGCAGTGGTGCGATCTTGGCTCACTACAACCTCCGCCTCCCAGATTCAAGGGATTCTCCTGCCTCAGCCTCCTGAGTAGCTGGGATTACAGGCACACACCACCACACCCAGCATTTTTAGTAGAGATGGGGTTTCAATATGTTGGCCAGGCTGGTCTTGAGCTCCTGACCTCAAGTAATCCGCCTGCCTTGGCCTCCAAAAGTGCTGGGATTACAGGCGTGAGCCACCGTGCCCGGCCCAGAAGTGCTTCTTTTGGGATTGATTGATGGACTGATTTTCAGTGGGAGGAGAACTATAATGCAATCTTTTGGGAATACTCCAGATCTGAGCCCCTCCTCATAGAGGGATCTGCACCTGCTTAGTATAGACCTCTGCAACTGCTAGAGTGTCTTCCTGGCCTCGGCTTCCTTCCCCTGAGGTTTACTGTGTTCTTACTGCCCACCTTCCGTGCCTAGTTGCTAGTCGGCTCCTAAACCCAGGCTAAGTCCTGTCTCTGGTTTGCCTCAGAAGATTTTATCTAAAAGACGGATACAGAGGGGGTGGCTGGGGGGGTTCAGAGATGAATTGTGATAGATGTATGTACCATTATGATAGATTCATGTTTTTCTTGCCTTTTTGTGAATGATTAGGAAGCTACTTAAGGGTAAACACATTGGATGATTTTGCTAATTTTAACTGTAAAAACATTCTGGGCTGGGATACAAAACCAGCCAGAGGAGAATTTGGCAGCTAAGAGAAATGACCACTAGCTTTGGATGAATGACCCAGGAGCAGAATGATCCCTGTTTGGGATTTACACGATTTTCCCATCAAATAGCTCAAAGCGTTTTTCAGAAATTTAACTTACGCCTCAGTCCTGTAGTGGATCACGTGACATCTGTCTCCGTGCCTGCCCGGTCAGCTGGTCAGAGGAGGCGGGCTCTTTGGGCCCGCCCACTTTCATGTCTGCAGCTGGGGACAGTGTTCCCTGCAAACAGTTGGGCCTGCTTTCATTTGTCACGCACTAGGCTTCACAGGGCACTGGTGATACTGATCCTTCTAAGCAGAATGGAGGTCACGCAGGGCTGAGGGACTGTGTCCTCTTTGTCTCACCGATGACCGAACATGACCACAGGTGATCTCGTGGTCGACTGCAGACCCCGTAGTTACTAGAACTTCCTCTGGTCTCTTTAGCTGAGCCCCATGCCTCTCAGAAGGTGTAACTGGACCTAGGAGGATGGCAGGGCTTACACGATAGTTTCAGCTGCTTTCAGAGTCTCAGCAGCTTTCTGCAGGTGCTCTGCAGGGCCGGCCCAGGTGAGGCACAGAGCACAGCTTGCCTGCTGTCTACACTCTGCTGAACTACACTCTTTTCCCTTTGTGACTGACCTAGATGTAGGTGACAGTAAAGCCTGTGTCTTTAAAAACTTTTTAAATTTGTTTTTACTTTTTCATGTTTCTTTAACCTATCATGTTTAGGAATGTAAAAAGGGTTAAGTCTGCACCTCAGTGTTAGTTATGCATCTTTGCATCATATGCAGATAATGGATTTGTAGAGTGTCTTCAACGCCCAGGGCTGGGCCTGGGAGGTAGACCATGAGGTGGGCACCTGGGTGACCAGGAACAAACCTTGGCTCCTCCAGGCAGAGGCTGCCAGGCCCACTAGTGATACTAAAGGGGCAGCAAAGCCATCTCCCACCAGGGCTGCAAAGGGCAAAGTCAGGGGGCAGTGGTCAAAAAAGGAAGGTGCTGAGATACCCAAGGCTGGATCTGGGTTGCTGGGGCAGCACTTACAACCTTTTGAGGTTCTGGGTGGCTTGACACTGTTGTGACTTCAACAATCCTGGCAGTGGCCAAGGGGAAGAAATGCCAGGGAAGCTGCCCCTGATGAGGGCGCTTGGGTGGGATGCCGTGTGTACTGCTCCTGCTGCGTCATCGTCTTGTAGAGTCTGAGATTTAAAATGAAAAAGCCGGCCAGGCGCGTTGGCTCACGCCTGTAATCCCAGCACTTTGGGAGGCTGAGGCGGGTGGATCATAAGGTCAGGAGTTCGAGACCAGCCTGGCCAACAGGATGAAACCCTGTCTCTACTAAAAATACAAAAAAATTAGCCGGGTGCAGTGGCAGAGCTTATAATTCCAGCTACTTGGGAGGCTGAGGAAGGAGAATCGCTTAAACCCAGGAGGCGGAGGTTAGGGTGAGCCGAGATTGTGCCATTGCACTCCAGCCTGGGCAACAGAGCGAGACTCCGTCTCAAAAAAAAAATCACTCACACATGTATTCGTATATAAACGTATAGCTTTGGCTTATTGGTTAAGCCCCTTAAAATACTACTTACTTGTATGTTTGCTTTTAATTGTTTTATATTCAATGACTCATTGAATACAATGAATTGTATTCATTTTGTATTAGGTAACTAGTTTAATTATTTTACTAATGGGCTTTATTTTTCTTAGAGAAGTTTAGGTTTACAAAACAATTTCGCAGAAAGTACAGAGATCGCCCGTATACCCCCTGTGGGCCCCTCCCCATGGTTTTCCCAATTATGTTGGTGCAGGGGATTCCTTACATGTGCTGACCCAAACTGAGATGGCGTGATTCACTAAGGCCTATGGTGGCCTTGGCTTTTAAGCTCATTTTGCATGGTGTGTTTTGTCTGGGCCTTGCAGGGAAGGTGAACCCTGACTAGGAGCCCCTTCAGGTTCCCCACTCACCTGCACCTGCCGCACAATTCTCTGTAGGGCTGTGGTTCCCTCGGGTGGTGCTGACCCAAAGACATGGCCGAGTATGCCCAAACTGTAGCAGAGAGCCACACCTCCTTCAGGTCAGAGCTGGGCTCAAGCCCCAGGAGTGCTTCTGCAAGACCCAGATGAAACCTGGCCTCAGATCTTTGCAGCTCCAGCTAGTCCGGGATGAATGCACCCCCTCTGTTAGAGAAAACTCAGGGCCAGGTTGTCATTTCCTGGTTCCTGGGTCCATTCAAGGGTGCCATTTCTGGATGTTTGTGGCAAGCTCACCTGGGCAGGTCTATGGAGTCTGCAAGGCCATCGCTGCCTGGCCCTTTTTGTTTCTCCCTCTACCACGAGGCAGCCGAGGGCTTCAGAGGGCCTGATGCGCCATCTCTTCCCTAGACATCCTTTGTGCCTGGACCTAAGAATGGAAGCCTCTCACCGAAACAGAGGACATTCCCTTGGTATCCCAGGGTCCTTGCCAGCCTTTGCAATGAACTTGAGAAAGGAGACCTTTCCAGGATTGAAAACACCACCACTATTCATATTCAACTCGGTCTTTTCAGATGCAAAAAAGTTCATTACCGACATTAAATGTAATTGTAAAATTGACCCAGGGATCATTTCCTGATAAAATGTGGGCAGTAGGAATGTTCCTGATTTATGAAGCCTTTTTGGGGCAACTCTGAATCTTCCCAGCTCTTCAAGGGAGGCCGGTCTCAAGTGAACTCATTTTAATTAGATAAACTATCTAATCAATATGTGAACAGATCAATCAAAACAGCAGCTTTAAAATGAGTGGCTAGAGGGGTGTTTCTGAAGCTAATGGCTAGAAGAATATTTCTCTGAATTGAATTCACTTGTTAGCATAATAGGAGATTAAACTGTAATTAGTGGAGCAGGTTTTGAAGAGAAGCAATCTTGAGTCAAAACAAAACAAAACAACCCGCCCACCCCCATTAGCCAAAAAAGCTGTGAACGCACATCAATCAACAGTGTCCAGGAACACGTGAAGGTTCCTTGTGCTCTGCAGTATTTAAGATGGCTTTTATTTTGCCTAACAGGGGGCTGTGCTTTCCTTTGCCAATTCCATTTTCAAATCCACTTCATCTTTGCAGGTTGTTGTATCGACAACAGTCAACGTGGACGGCCACGTGCTGGCCGTGTCAGACAACATGTTTGTGCACAACAATTCCAAACACGGGAGGCGGGCCCGCCGCCTCGACCCGTCAGAAGGTACGGCCCCTTCTTATCTGGAAAATGGTAGGCACATGTTACATGTCTTTTTTTATTTGCAATGCTTCTTTTTCTTTGCACCATCCTTTATGTTCATTCATGTGGAGTTCCTCTCACCAGGCCCCCGCCCTTGGTCAGACCTCCTGCACCAAGGCAGGGCGAGGGGGTGTCCCCGAGATGGAAGGGGAGGTAGCCCTCCAAAGCTTTCTCTTCTCCTTTATTGAACAGCGGGGCTTTCCCATTCACCTGCCACGGCCTTCATGTCTCCAGGCGTTCTTTTGCTTACTGCTTTTCTTGCGATTTTAATTTATTTGGTTTTATTTTGGTTTGTCGGAAGCGCCCATCCAGAAGCTCATACCCAGATACCTCGTGCAGGCCCAGTGAGTGGTTACATCCTGGTCCAATCAGCTCCAAAGGGACAGCCAGGACCATTTCCTGTCCCTGACTGGAGTGCGTGTGCCTGTGATCCATGTGTGTGTGCGTGTTCACACAAGAGTCGGGGCAAGGAGGAGGGGGTGAAAATACAAACCAGAATACATTTTTCTTTTTTTAAACCAAATGCTTTCAATTGGTTGACTTCTTGTGTTGCTTGTTAAAAGAGAAGGGTTTCCATAAGGGTGGTGGGTAGGGAGAAAGGTCCTTGGATATCAGGTCGGAATGCAGAAAGAC